TCATGTAACTACCGATATATCTTAAATTTTTTTCGTAGATGCTTAACTTAAGGTGATTTATAAGATAAATGGTTCGAAAGAGATCCCAATAATAGCACCTCTTTTGAATGCTCAACTACAGTGGATCCGTTCCCTTAACTAATACTACCAAATAAATAAATAAATAGAACCAATAAGGGCAAGTTGCATGGATTGAACATCAAAGCGATTTTGCTCGGATACAAAGTCAACAATGGCAAGTTGCCTTCAGCAGAACTTGTAGGGACAGAACAAAATATATAATTATGAGTATTGCTTGAGCATCAAGTACGAAAAATAGGAAATTACAAACAGTAATATTACAAACTTACATTTAACTATTCAAAAATTAATTATAATTATTATATTGTGATTCTAATTTATTTTATATATGAACCTTACATTAGACAAATTTAATCTTTACCATACAACCACTCACTCTGAAAAATCTGGGTGGATAAGTCTGGGATCTGAGACTTATTCAATTACAAATAAATGGGATGGGGCGAATAATTACGAAGGTGAGAAGATTTGCAAATTGTGATTCTCTTCATTCCAAGTGTAATAGAGGATCTCCGTTGCATTATCTAAAGGCTTATAATGATTCTTTTTAAATTTAAAATATTAATAAATTGTCATGATAAATTCACAACCCTTAGATCATTTAATGGATATCTTTCTTTATAATCATATAATGGAGAAGATCTCATTGCAGATATAATTGTTGATAATTTTTTTTTATTATGTAGAAAAGACCCCCCCCCCCTTTTTTTTGAAAGACACACAAAAGACTTGCACGCAAATATATTTTTATTTAATTTTAGTCAAATACCTTAATCTATACTTACCCTACAAAAAATTGAGATATTATTGGTTTTTAGGAAATTTAGCAAAAACCCCTTAGGCCTAACATGTTAGTGTGTAAAGGATAATCCAAAATATCAACAATCCTCTCCTCCATGAAGGACAGACTAATATTGTTTCTTTTTATTCTGGGCAATCATGCCCCTGTATATATATCTTAGAATCTAAATGTGGAGAATTCCTTACTGAATATGGAAAGAAGACCAAGAGGATTCAACTAGAGAGAGAAAGTGTTTGAAGCAAGGAACCGAATGAGTGAGTTGTTCGGTTGACAAGATGGAAGCTAACACAAAGTTTTCCTTTGATGGTTGGAAGGGGTAGTCTCTGTTGCTTCTACTAGTTCACCAAGCTGCTCTTATTCATCATGTCATATCATTGTACTCAATGACCGTTCTTGTGTCATTTTTCCTTCCCTAACAAACTGGTAAAATTATATTACCCACTCATAGAAATTCTATGATACACATATGCTTTATGACAATTGAACTCATTGGTTATATTGATATGAATTGTTATTTGTTGATTTGTTTGTGAACTTGTAGTGAAAAAACTAGTAAAAGCGTCCTTCAGTTCATACTCTATTTTTTTGTTACGGATGTACTATTCAAGGAGACAATAAAGTGTTACTTTAGTAGTCAGTAACATTTTACTGTGAATCAGAATAAAATGTTACTGTGAAATAGAATAACATTTTACTGTTAAATAAAGTAAAATGTCACTTTTATGTCAATTTCGACGTGAATTTTTTTTCTAAAAAGAATTTCATAGTCAACTTGAATCTTGTTTGATAGATATTGATGAGAGGATTTTAAAAATATCAATTTTATTAAAAATTGACATCTAGATAAAAAAATTATATCATTTTAAAGTTTAAAAATATTAAATTACTCATTAATATTTTAATAAAAATAGTGTGTGCTGGACTTTTCCAAAAAAACAAAAATTGAAAAATTCTATTTTTACACCATCATTTGTCCTAGTACACACTATCTACTTAGTTCACACCCCCACACAAATTGAATATGTTGATTTTGTCTCAATACACACCACCAATTTTCATATAATACCATATTACCCTAATCTCGGCCAACAAACCCTAACTTTAACCCTTGCCCACCGTCCATTGTCAGTTGCCGTTATTTCTTCGCTCATCATTTTAACACTCTGGTGCCCTTTATCCAGCCCCTCCAATTACCACCCTCCATCCCTATTACTTTACTACCATCGCAACCCCTACCTTCGTTACCTCACTACCATCATAAACCCCCATTGCCACTGTCTCACCACCATCACAGTCCCCCACAACTGCGATACACAATCGTTGCGATCCTGCTCTCTCTTCAAATACATATCTCTATCTCTAGGCTATGCGTGATTGGTCGCCAATGAGGTGATTTACAATGGTGGTGGGTCGTCGAGGATGGTAGTGGTTGTAGGGTGGTGAAGGCAAGAATGAAACTAGAAAGATGGCGACAACTAGAACGACGGGGCTGAAAATGAGAAAGGATCAGTGGCTAATGTTGATGGTGCTAGCGGCTAGTGTTAATGGTAGTGATGTTTGGTGTGTGTTGAAGGGATTTAGGGTTTTGTCCTAAAAGGTAATTTCATTGATAGGGCATAATTGTAATAAAAAAAATATAAGGTAATGGTGTGAATTGAGAGAAATAGTGGTGTATAAATAGAATTTGCCAAAATTATTTTCTACTTATCCTTAATGCATTAAAATTTTATTATGAGGGAATTTTAACCAAATTTTCCTTGCTTTTAAGAGATGTTTCATTTACTTATATGCTCCGTTTGTTTCGGGAAAAAGTATTTTTTTAATGATTTTTTTTAAAAACAATGGTTTCCATATGAAAACGTTTTTATTTTTGAAACTAATGCACTAATAATTGCATCAATGGTGGTAGTAATAGTGGCGGTATGGTGAAGGTGGAGGCAGTGGCGGTGGCGGTGGCGGTGACGGTGGCATTTGCAGTAGCAGTAGCGGTAGCAGTGGCGGTGGCGATAGCGGTAGCAGTGGCAGTTGCAGTAGCGATAGCGATAGTGGTGATGGTTGCAATGGGTTATGGTGTAGTGGTGGTGATGGTAGCAATGGTGGTTCCAGTGTAGTGGTAGTAGTGATGGGGTAAATGGTAGTGATAGTGATAATGGTGGAGGTGGTGGTACTGGTTATAGCAACAACGGTGGTGTAGTGGTAACGGCAATGTGGTGACATTGGTAAAATTTTAGTTTGAAAAATATTTTTTTTACCTTTTAAAAGTTAAAAATATTTTCCGTCAAAATAGGTTTGTTTTCCGTTGACCATGAAAAATAATTTTCATTGACTTTGTTTTTCATTATACCAAACACTAGAAAATATGAAAAAAGAAATTTTGAACAGCCTATTCCATCGAAACAAATGAAACGTTAAATAAAAACATTTAAGCGAGGCATTTGATAATGCTACTATGATATATTTCAAAATACATTTATATATTTTTATGGGTAAATTACACTATATCCTCACTTTGGTCTTTTTATTTATTTATTCTTATTTTGACTCTTCATATTTAAATTTTTTTCCTAATTTACTTCCAAATCTAATTTTTGTTTAAAATTAAATAGAAAATATCACGTTAACTGTCACATAATATAAAAAATATATTATTATATTAAAATTTGAATATATATCAAAAGTGTAAGTTATATATAATAAAATATTTTTATACTTCGTGATTGTCAATTTGTCATTATTTGTCTAAATTTAAATATAAATTAACTTTTGAAGTAAATTAAAAAAACTTAAAACATAAAAGGTTGAAATGAGGGAAGAAAAAAAAAATTTAAGGGTCAAAATGAAAAAATATGCAAACATAAGGTGCAAAGTATAATTTAAATTTTGTATTTTGTTTTTAAATCCAACTCGCTGGCACGTTTCATTGTATTTAAAACTTTTTAAATCAATAATCAGTCTTCGGCGTTCATTGCCCTAGACTTGGCGTCAATCGCCGCACAAAGCATTCCGATCAACCTCTCTCAGATCCTCCTCTTCCTCCTCTTCCTCCTCATCATCATCGGAGTGAGAAATTCTCTGCAGAGAATGGCGATCGAAGGCATGATCGAATTGGATAGCCATTTGGTTCATCTCTGCCTCGAAGCTGCCTCGCAAAGCAGAGACGCCGTCGAATCGTGGCGGAGACAGCGGCGCACTCTCGAACGTATGCCTTCTCATCTCTCCGCCGCTCTCTTCCGCCGCCTCCTCCGCCGTCGCCTCCTCTTTCCTTCTCTCCTCGAGTATGTCACTCCACTTTTCATTTCCAATTTCACTATGAATTCATGAGCTGTGATCTAAAAGTTTTGAGGTTCGCGTTTGCATTAATTGTATTAACTATTTTAATTCGTTACGCATAATTTTGGAATTTTACAGCTCTTTGTTGTTCTTTTTGCGTTATTTAGGATGTTTAGATGTGTATATGCGTATCTATGCATGTATATTGTATAATGATGGAGGAAGGATTGATTTTGCTAAAACATAATTTTGGATCTTGACAGCTATTTCTTTGTTCTGAGTTTTATTTGCTATCTGAATAGTAAGATTGAAATTTGTAGGAACTTTAATTTGATGTAAATTTGGATTATAACTATCTGAATTTCATGTTTGCATAGCTGTATTATGTGCAGTTTTGTTTTGTTGACTTCGCAATTTTATTTGCAATCTGAATACTAGGCTTGAAATTTGCACAAACTATAATTTGATTTGAATTTGGCTTTTCACAATTCTATTTTCAACTTTGTTTGGTTGAATTTTTATATATGCAACAATAGAATGAGAAACACAAAAAGTCTTTGATTTTAACTACTTATGCGTTCTAAAACTTTTTTAGCCAGTGGAGAAGTTTTAATTTAATGTCCATGTAGTCTTGCGAGAAATGATTACTTCTTTCTTCTTCTTTTTTTTGAATGATGGTATTACTAATATGTCGAACATTTAGTCATCATTGCAAAGTTGTTATTAGTAGAATTCATATTTCTTTCTATATTATGGACTTACACTATTCCTTTTATGAAGTGCTACATTTTTCCTTTTATACTTGTTGAAGTAGATTTTCAGTTTTCTCTTGTAGAGTTTTCAAACATAGCATAGAGGAGGTTGATCTGAGAGGTGAGAGCTCTGTGGATGCTGAATGGATGGCGTACTTAGGTGCATTTCAGTATTTGATCTCACTGAACATTGCAGATTGCCACAAAATCACTAATGCCGCCATATGGCCTATTACAGGTACACAAGTCTTATCAGACAAGCTTCATTGATTTGATGACTTACCTATTTTTACTTTTCTTGCCCCCTACTTCTTGTTAGTTATGTTTCTCAGATGAATCCTGATTTTGCTGACTGAATTGATAATCAAAAACAGAAAATGGGTATTTCCTTTAGTGATAGATTTATTACCAAGTGATTGTGCGTATCTTTACCTTGTTTCATGTTGCTTGTGATTAAGTAAGTGTTCTTCAGCTGACTAAGGAGAAAAAAGCTAATTGAAGGATTTTTCATTGCAAGACACCTGTTCTAATGGAAGGTCTTGAGTAGTGGAGATGATTCATGTATGAACAAGGGCATTCAAATAATGGTTTGATTGCTTTTAGAGACCATAGTTTTTATAACAAACTAGTTTCTTGTTTCTAGATATCCATGGACCATGGCTGAGTCTCTGTTTAATTCCAGTAAAGAGATAATAGGCACACAACCTGAATTATATAACCTGTGTAAAATTATATGCTTGGACTTTAAAAAATTATGAGCTCTCCTTTTTGAGTTAAATTAGCTAAAGGGCATTCATGGAAATTTTGAAAACTTTCTTTTTATTCTTACCCTTCTCTTGTCCACTACTGGCCAAATCAGAGACTGCCAGCTTGGATGTTGCAATTACTAGTGAGACCCCCCTTTTTCTCCCAGTGTGTTTGTTTCTGTGCGTGCATCATGCTCGTCTCACATCACGTCTGCGCATGTGAGAGAGAGAGAGAGCAGCACCACAAAATGGCATTGAACTGTCGCATTGGCTAATCCGCATCATCACCTTCGCACCTCTGCACCTCAACAAAGCCACTAGGCCCACCACAAAGGCCCCATTACCAGAGCCACCCTTTTCTATTACTGAACAACAGGCCCACAACTCTCTTTTAGCACCAACAACCGCCAAGATCACCAGGCTGAAATACCTTCAAAATCTACAGCCAATCATTCCTTAGACCTGCTGCTAGTAGCCATGTTTATCGGTTTTCCTTTTTATTGTTCATCATCATTCTTTTTCTTGAACTGTTCCTTACCAAATGTCAATGAACCCTAAATCTTCCGACTGATCCACACAGAGACATACATATATTCAAGCAATTGGCTTTGAAAAGAAAGCAATTTTGTTTTTCCATTTTCATTGATTTCTGATTTAATGAAGGAACCATATTCACCTTGACGCCATGGTGGGTTTGTTTTGTAAACATCTAAATAGTGTAATTTTTCATGTGAGATTTTTGCGGGAAGAGACCGACATAGCCTCTTACAAAGAGACAGACAATTTTGTGCTAGCAAAATCAGTAGTTTAAAAGATGGGAAAAAGTGTCTAAGGCATGCTATGAATCAACTTGTGGTATACATGTGCTTCTTTTCCATTAATTTCACCAAGGGCAGCCCAGAAAAGGAGCATGAGCTCTAAGGGATTAACCTGTCTGGTATTTTCTGGGGTGAGTCAAAATTGTGTCAAATTACTGCCCATGGACCCCTTCTGAAATTAGTCTGTTAATGTAAGGGGTTTGAAAATATTTCTTGTACAAGTTTTTCTTATTGGTTTCAGGTATGGCTAATTTAAAGGAGATAGACATTTCTAGGTGCTCAAAGGTTACTGATGCTGGTATTAGGCATCTTTTGTCGGTTTCAACTTTGGAAAAGTTACATATTTCCGAAACAGGTGCGACTGCTGAAGGGATCTCACTTCTCTGTTCACTTACAAACCTGTCTGTATTGGACTTAGGAGGTCTGCCTGTCTCTGATTGGGCACTAAGTTCTCTTCAGGTACATAATTTTCAGTATTACATATGTTTCTAACATTTTTCCTGATTTGAATTTTCACGTCTGTTGTAATTCTTGAAACATGGTTGCTTCATTGATGCTTGTTCTATGATTTATACCTATTATTTTTAAATGGGTATAAAAGATGACTAATGCTCTGGCTATAGTTGTGTGAGTTTGTAGCATTATAAATAGTATTAATTGAAGGGTAAATTACCAACAGGTTCTACTTTGGGGACTTATTACCCATTAAGTCATATTGATAAATTTATCAGTCTCTTGTTTTTATGAATAAATTTACAGTGAAAAATTTATCAATAACACCTGTAGGTAAATAAGTCTAGTTAATAGGACTGATTAGTAAGTATCCCTTAATTTAAACCAGCTCTTAGCATGGGGGCATTTCCTTTCACCTCCAAAAGGGAGGTGAATGGTTTGAGTAAAAAAAAAAAAAAAAAACCAAAGCAAAAAATCATGCTTTGAAAATAATTGGAGTGTGTCAGACATGTAGAAATCTAGATTGCAAACTCATGTGTTCCTAGTGGAATTATGACTGCTGGAAATAATTATTTAATGGCATATTCTATCTTTTTTTTTCCTTTCATTGCATTGGCACGTCCTTTTTCTTGGTGTATGGGAAATGGGGAACATTGATATGGTTATAGACTGGGATTGAGCTGGCCAAGAAAATCTTAGGTGGTCGCTATTACAAGGTGGTCCTGAGGGGACATATGCAATACTAGTTTGATATCTCTGCTTATTTCCAATCTTTATATTTGACCTATACATCTTGCTGTATTGAATTCAAGGAATTGGTTATGCTATGTGCTCATATCATATATAATGGCTGGTGCTATGGAAATTTTCTTTGTTTTGTGTTTTGTTGTCAGACATAAGTTTATTTTCCTGAATTTCATTGTCAATTACATTGGAATGATTTGAATTCAGTAAGATTATAAAAATCTTTAATACAACTGTCGTGGTTTATGATTGCATTAGGTTCTGACAAAACTACAGTACCTAGACCTTTGGGGAAGCAAAATATCGAACGAAGGGGCTGCTATGTTAAAAGTGTTCCCTATGTTGAGCTCTCTGAATCTTGCTTGGACTAAGGTTACAGAGCTGCCAAATTTGTCCTCTCTTACATGCCTAAACATGAGTAATTGCAACATTCATTCTATATTTGAAGGGCATGGTAATAAAGTTCCTATATCGAAGCTTATTCTCTCTGGAGCAACATATGCAGATGTGTCTGAAGCCTTTCTATATGTTGAAACCAGTTCCCTATCCTTCTTGGACATGTCCAACTCTTCTCTTGGCAGATTTTGCTTTTTGTCTCACATGAATGCACTGGAACATTTGGATCTCAGCTCTAGTTTGATTGACGATAATTCAGTTGAGCTGATTGCATGCATTGGATCAAATTTGAGAATTTTAAACCTCGACAGGACAAGAGTGACCTCTGCTGGAGTGGGGATTTTGGCTGGAAATGTTCCCAATCTTCAAAATATCTCATTATCTTGTACGCAGATAGATGATCTTGCCATCTCATATATCAGTATGATCCCTTCGCTGAAGGTTATCAACCTAAGCAATACGAATGTCAAAGGTATGACTTTTCCTGCGAGTGTTGGAGCTCTTGTTGCATTTCATTGACTTCTCGATTTCTCAATTTCCATGGGTGCTGCTCTTTTCAAACCACTATCCAAGAAAGTTTTTTGTTTTCTGGACTTCAGTTTGAAACATGTTAGGATGACATTCATATATAACCTATTGTACTATGACGTTGACATGGTTCCATTTGGTGTTCAAAATCAACTGTTGCTCATTGTTAGGATAATATTCATATATATGTAGCTCTTATATGGTATTATGTCCCGTTATATTCTCAATCTATGTGACAATTTTTAAGTTCTTTATTTGGCAAGATGTACTAAAGTGAGAACAACTATTTTTTAAATGGTTTTTCTCCAAGGATCAATTTTTGTTTGCAAACCTAAGTGGGGACTCACACACCCCTTCTTTTATACTCAGCCCTTTTCTGTAATTTCTTTCCCACATACCCCTTCTATTTTATTTATTTATTTATTTATTTTGGCAAAGGAAAGAAAAGCAAGCAGCCAACTACATTGATCTGCTATAATATGGCCATATGAGCCCAAAAGGGATCCTATGCCCTGAGGGAGAACTATAAAGAATCTCCATCACAATGGAAGCTTGAATTTTTTTTATTATCTAAGAAATTTACACGGGAATTCCCTTCTCTCAGAATGTGACCGAGCTTGCAATTGTAGCAATGCAGGAGAATTTGCAGTTGCTTCTTGAATTGAAGACCACTTCTTTTGACCTGTAGACTTTGGTGGAGTTTGCAAACTGAAATCCCATAAGCGAAACTGTGTATCATGCACATTTCATTCCTAATTATTTATCATGTCCATGAATAGTCCATGATTGCCTTCTTGTAACAGCAATGCTATTATTATTATTGTTATTATTATTATTGTTATTATTATTATTATTATTATTATTTTCTTTGAGGTTTATAGTTATAGATATATAAATTATTCTTCTGGATTTTCAGGTTTGATTCATCAAGTAGGTAATGACCCAGATTGGATTCCCTCGCTGACAGCACTACAAAATCTCATTTATTTAGAAAGGTTGGATTTGGAGGAGACCAGAGTTGGGGATGCGGCACTACCTCCTCTATCAGGGTTGCAAAATTTGAGCTACTTATCTCTCAAAAGTTATTTCCTCACAGATGTGTCTTTGTACCTCTTGTCATCTATCCCTAATCTGACAAATCTCAGCCTTCAGAATGCTGTGTTGACCAATACTGGGCTTTGTTACTTCAATCCACCAGCAATGCTGAAAACACTGGATCTGAGGGGTTGTTGGCTCTTAACAGAGGGCGTTCTCTTATCATTTTGCAAAATGCATCCTCAAATTGAAGTCAGTCATGAGCACGTTCATTTTGTTCAATCTGACCAAGGCAGCTCCAACTCTTCATCTCCATCACAGGGCTCTTTCAAGAGCTTGCCATTGAAACAGAAGCGGGGAAAAATGCCCGTGTCTCCACTTAGATTCAATAACAATGCTTTCTTAGGTAAGCTTTGCTTTCTTCGTGATTATTTTCCTAAAGCTGCAGTTGTTTATGACGCGGTTTAAATCTCTTCTCTTGGTTCTGAAATAGATCAAAGGTTGAAGTATAGCAGAGAAGAACTACTTGCGTTGCAGTTTTCGTCTTTATCACGTGTTTCTCCGCATGAAAGAGGTAATGTTGATACCTAAGTAGGAAACGCAATGACTTTTAAAGATATTGTCCTGTATAAACTGTATCAATTTTTCTGTATTTTTTTGGGGAACAACATTAGTTACTTAAAAGTGTCGTCAAAATATCAATAATGAATCCAATTAATTCAGATTTACTGTCAAATATGTCTAAGGAGCATACATCAAATATGTCTAAGGAGCATACATCAAGAGAGTTAGCTGCCATGGAGAGGAATATATGATTGTAAATTTTGTAGTCTTTTTTTAATTCTCTGTGATTGTGAGTTGTTTAGTCCTGTAAATCGGACAGAAAATTGGTTGTTGAGAGGAATATAAAAATGTTTCAGTAATGCGTTGAATTTAGGTGGCTATTTTATTCTATCAAACATATTATTTCATTTCAGTTCGTTATTACTATTCATTAGTTTTTTGTAAAATTGATTTATCATATTAAGAGGAAATTTTAATTATCAGGCAATTATCAATTAAAAAAAAAAAAAAGGTAGATTACAGTGACTTGCCTTGACGATTGTCCAAATTACTGTTGGTCCCGTTAAATTTTGTAGTCTTTTTTTAATTCTCTGTGATTGTGAGTTGTTTAGTTCTGTAAATCGGACAGAAAATTGGTTGTTGAGAGGAATATAAAAATGTTTCAGTAATGCTTTGAATTTAGGTGGCTATTTTATTCTATCAAACATATTATTTCATTTCAGTTCGTTATTATTATTCATTAGTTTTTTGTAAAATTGATTTATCATATTAAGAGGAAAATTTTATTATCAGGCAATTATCGATTAAAAAAAAAAAGGTAGATTACAGTGACTTGCCTTGACGATTGTCCAAATTACTGTTGGTCCCGTCTATATGGAAAAATGGCTAACTTCCGCTTATGGGCATCAAAAAAGTCTACTCTACTACAAAACTTATAAAATGACAAAGATACCCTTACACCTACCACTATCTCCCTCTCTTCCAACCACCACTGCCACCTCTTCATCCCTTTGTTTACCACACAGCAAGCCTACCATCACCCTTCCACTCATTTCGCCTACACTGCCACCCCTTTCACCCTATTGCAAACCAAATATCAAGAAGACAAAGAAAAATAAATAAAAATCATGCCAAAAAACATTTTTTTTAAAAAAAAATAAAAAATTCAAGCCTACAAATGATCTTCCTTTCTCTATAAATAAGCTCAGCAAATATCTCAAAACCATAACCATTTCAATGAGCTCCACCTCACAACCCCCCAGCATGGTTGTGGTTTCCTACCTTACAATCAAATATCATAAAAGATAGGAAAGAGTAAGAGAGAGGGAGGGGAATGGGTTTTCCACCATCTTTGTTGTTGGCAACCCAACAAAATAAAATAAAATAAATCCAGAAATCAAGAGAGGAAAGGAATGAGGTTTTCACCATCTTCGTTGTCAACCCACTGAACAGCCAGGTGGAGGCAGCCTTGGACACTGTACAAATCTTGAGAATGATGGACACAAATCTAGAGGGCAGAGTTGAGGCAACTCAAAGTTGCGACATGGGAACAAGGCGCTATGTGTGTGTGTGTGTGAGAGAGAGAGAGAGAGAGAGAGGAAACAATTCTTCAAGTAGGGCTATTAAATGAATCAAGCTACTCGAGCTTGACTGCGTGCTTTGCTCGATCGGCTCGTTATGTAAACAAATCAAATTTGAATACAATTTTAAGTTCATTAAGTTTTCAAGCCAAACTTCAAGAACCTATTACTCAGCTCGATGAACTTAATCACACAACAAAAAATTAAGCTACTCGAGTTCGATTCATGTTTGACTCATTAACAACTCATTTGAGATCAACTCATTATACATATTTTGAAATTTGTTAAGTTTTTAAGTCAAGTTTAAACAGTTCATTACTTGCCTCATTTACAGCCGTAGTTTAACAGGATGAGACACAACATATGATTCTTTTAGTGATTGTAGTGTCTCTAGATCGTTATTCAATTGTGGCCGAATCTTCGTAGACTATGATGATTTGGGCAGATCATCATTGGACTGCGGTAGTGGTTAAATCTCTCAAGGCAACAATGTAGTAAGAAGTGTAGGTTCTTGGTGTTGTATTTTTTTTCTTTTTTTATTGAGTGTCATGTCATTAGTGGTCTTTTTAGAGCTCCAAAATTAGTGGTCTCTATCATTATTGATTAAATGAATCAAGCTACTCGAGCTTGACTCATGTTTTGCTCGATCGGCTCATTATGTAAACAAATCAAATTTGAACACAATTTTAAGTTCATTAAGTTTTCAAGCCAAACTTCAAGAACCTATTACTCAGCTCGATGAACTTAATCACACAACAAAAAATTAAGCTACTCGAGTTCGATTCATGTTTGACTCATTAACAACTCATTTGAGATCAACTCATTATACATATTTTGAAATTTGTTAAGTTTTTAAGTCAAGTTTAAACAGTTCATTACTTGCCTCATTTACAGTCGTCGTTTAACAGGATGAGACACAACATATGATTCTTTTAGTGATTGTAGTGTCTCTAGATCGTTATTCAATTGTGGCCGAATCTTCGTAGACTATGATGATTTGGGCAGATCATCATTGGACTGCGGTAGTGGTTAAATCTCTCAAGGCAACAATGTAGTAAGAAGTGTAGGTGGTGGTGGTGCAGTGAGAAATGTGTGGGGAAAAGGTGGTGACATGGTATGAGAAGAGAAGGAAGTCTCAGAGAAGGGGTAAGAAGAAGCCTCAAAGGAAAGGGACGAATACAAGCTGATAGAGGGAATGGTGAGAGAGGGTTTGCCCCTTTTTATTGAATAGCCCCACTTAACCCAATGTGTCAAGGGCAAAATGGAAAATTCATTCTTAAAATTGCTTACATCATCATATTCCATCCAACTCTATAACGATTCCCTAATGACAAGGTGTAGTGAAATGTGATCCAAATGTCAAAGGGAGGCCGCTGTCATTTTCCCAAATTGATGGGGCTAATTTGGGCAATAGCCAAAGGGAGGTCCGTGTAAGTTACCCATAAAAAAAATATTTGGGCAATTTAAATCTAGTATGCTTTTTGGAACCCTCTCTTTTTGGGAAAGGAATAAATTTTATTTCATACCCCATAAAATAAAAATAAAAAAATAAAAAAAAATCGTTGTTTTGAAATCCTGGAAGCCCTTCTAGCATATACGATTTGTTGGAAGTTGCAACCACTCATTCTAGCGGTTAGTTTCAGACAAGTAACGACATCAATATTGCCCTCCCCCCTTTAGTTCCAATAAAATTGCTTACATCATCATATTCCATCCAACTCTGTAACGATTCCCTAATGACAAGGAGTAGTGAAATGTGATCCAAATGTCAAAGGGAGGCCGCTGTCATTTTCCCAAATTGATGGGGCTAATTTGGGCAATAGCCAAAGGGAGGTCCGTGTAAGTTACCCATAAAAAAAATATTTGGGCAATTTAAATCTAGTATGCTTTTTGGAACCCTCTCTTTTTGGGAAAGGAATAAATTTTATTTCATACCCCATAAAATAAAAATAAAAAAATAAAAAAAAATCGTTGTTTTGAAATCCTGGAAGCCCTTCTAGCATATACGATTTGTTGGAAGTTGCAACCACTCATTCTAGCGGTTAGTTTCAGACAAGTAACGACATCAATATTGCCCTCCCCCCTTTAGTTCCAAGAGGGTTGGAATTCCATTCACCAATACAAAACAAATAACAGAATGAAAAATCTGGATAGTGAAATAGTGACCATTAATATAACCTCCAGATATAACAATGTCTTCGTTAACGTGCACAAAAGATCCTAACAATCATCTTTGATCTTGCTCTGATCAATGATGAAATAACCAGTATGACTGCTGGTGTTTGATGCACTTCCACACTGGCCTTATCATGAACCCACATTACATAAGTCGTAACTTTAGTCATTGGGTAACCATATATATATTATGTACAATCGAATATTAAAACAAATAAACGGGGATTATAACATGCAGCGGCATCACAGAAGGGAATCATCTTTTGGGCTGTTAAACTCAGAGAAACGGGCTTACTTTGCACTCTTGTACATGTTGTCAATGATGCTCTGCATCACAAAATATTTGCTTTTAGTACCATGGCCGCTAGAAAAACAGTATTCATGAATACATAATCAAATGGTTCGAAAATCATGTTCCAAGTCCAAGGCTATGTTTGGCATAAACTTTGTGGGCTAAAATAATCACAAAAACACAAAATAGGCTAAAAAGTCAATAAGACAAAATATCACATCCAAACTATAATCATTTCCATTTTTCTTTCACAAAAGTAAAAAAAAAAACTAAAAAGTCCATCCCAAATAAGGTTTTTTAACTCCAGGCTAAAATAGCTAAAAAGTCAAAAAACCAACTCACATCCCAAATGAAATTTAAGAATCAGTCCATGAATTGGATCACAGGTTAAAACAACTTGTCAGTCAATAAACATAGTACAAAGGCACGCTATAAGATTTCTTGGGAGAATCAAGAGGAGGGCTACCTGATAGTATTTGAGCAACTGAGGTCTCTTCTTCTTGAATGTTGGGGTGATAAGGTCACGATCCATGTCGAATGGCACGGGGTCAAGGTGAACAGCTCTTATAAATTCAAAACCTTTCAACTGCCAAGTGTAGTGCAAATGTTTTCAGGAATCATCCTCGATGAATCCTTCTTCCGATGAACTAAGAAAAGTAATGACAGGTAATCAAAAAAGTAAAAGAATCTAACCTGCTTTTCTTTTGCAACCCTTGTAAGCTCGCCAAGTATGTATTCTTTTGCCTTGGGAATTTCACAGAGGGAATCAAAATCCCCAGGCACACCATTTGCTTCAGCCCAACGTTCGAGTGCTTGCTTATTTGGGTTAACAACAGCAACAAGGAATGACTCAAAGCTGTTCCCATATATCCATAACTGAAATTGAAACACAGGCAGAATCAAACACAAGCCGATCTTCGGTAAGCAAATAAAATCAGGAATAAACACAACACCCAAATTCAATGCCCCAAAGTACAGGTATAGATCTGATCTGACCATATTTAAGTCACTCCAAGAATTGTCTCCAATAGAAAAAGGTATGCAAACGTGAGAGATGTACAATCTTAGCAGATCCATATGTATAGGCAAAAGCATGTGATCTTTTTTTCACCTTAAAATATAACTTATATTACAATCCCGTGTTGCATGAACAAGACAAATGCAAATTCTGAAGGAAATAGCACCATCTTATTCAGAACACAGCTTGTTATAAAACATTGTTCTATACTTCTATACATAAAATTCTCTCCCTCCACCCCAAGAAAAAAAAAAGGCTTGAAAGTCCCAATTCATCTCGATATTTCCATCATTATGTATTGGCCATAGTGTTCCATGTTTCTCTTCTTTATGTAAATATTGGCCAAAGTTTCTAGAATATTTCAAAAGGACCTATGTATTTGACAGTCACTTTGGTGAGACTTTTTACAAGCTAAAAGCTGATAATCAGAAAACAAAAAATAAAAGCACCTCTCCTCGTTCCCAATAATTGACTTATTTAAGATATTTTTTCCTTATAAACTATAAACAAAAGTTGCACTAAACATTCTAATTTCTAACACAAATTTTTAAAAAAGTAGGCCCATAAGCTACACCTAATAGGGCCAACAATATAAACAAAAGAAAACAACTTTTAAGTCATAACAGTTGAGAACTATGATCAGGATGAAGGCATTTGAGGGATGTACTTAACCATTATCAATAACATTTCCCCATTACATACTGTAATGGTGTATTTGGATCTTGGAATTGTAGAGAGAATAAAAAGGAATGGAAATTTGGAGGGAAGAGAAAATTGAAGGGATTTGTGAAAAAAATAAGCTTATATTTCATCCCCTTTTCCCTTATCTTTTGTCCACAAATCCAATATTCAAACACAGCCTAAAAGTCACATTATGATGGCAATCGAAATTCTCGCAGAAACAACACTGTAACCAAAATTATATTCATAATATACTATTCACAACAGCTGAAAGCCATACTGAGTCAATATCAGGAACATTGCCATAAACATTCTCCAAGTTTTCAACAGCAACATATTCTCCGTGTGAGAGCTTGAAAATGTTCTTCTTCCTGTCTATAATTTTCATGCTCCCATTTGGTTGCCACTCACCAATATCCCCTGATGGGAAAAAATTGTTAGGAGCTGGATTGAGTAAAAATATAATCTTGAATTAATGGATTCTAAATTAATTCCAGAAGAGACACTGGTGCAGGCAAACCTGTGTGGAACCATTCACCAACCAGAACCTCTTTGGTGAGGTCTTCACGTTTGTAGTACCCAGCGAACAAGGTCTCACCCCTTATACATATTTCTCCACGTTGTGTGCTTGAAAGGGCATCATATCCCATTTCAGGAACAGATTCTAGGCACACGTCCACATTGGGTAATGGAGGACCCACTGTACCAAGCATATCCAGCTCATTTGGCAGTGAGACAAATGTTCCACCACAGGTTTCAGTCAGACCTACATCACAGTCAGTAAATAAAACCACATAGGATACACTGGAAAATGTAAACTGGTGAATCAGTAAATTATCTACTTAAATAAAAAACACCGCATGACCTCAACAATATATTCACTTACTAACACCAAAAAGCTACACACTGTTTAGCCGGAACACAGGTACATTGTCAAAGTCTAATCCAGCTTGATTGTCAAATTAATCATGGTAAACAACAATTACATGCTTGACAGATACCCAGATCGATACAAGACTGCTCATGAGTTTTCAGCCATGAAGATTGGGCTTCTATTAGTTGTATTGACATCTAATTAGTCATGTTATAGTGCAATGATGCAAAACACAGTTATTCAACATGAAAGCTTAACATAGGTCATCCAGGCATCAAGAAAATGGATCTTAGGTGCATTATAGCAGTTAACACCGCTAACTTACATTGTTTCGAGAGTGACATGCAACTAATTTGAAGGGGAAGAAGTGGCACAGTAGATTTACTTTGTCAGCCAAATCAATGCTGCAAATGTAATTTTACTAGTGGCTTCCCATACATGTGAATGTCCCTGAGCATATGTGATCACTTGTGCACTTGTACAATTTGATCTAGTTCATGAATTTGGACAATTATCTACACCGTTTTCAATCTAAAGGCTCCGAATCACTAGCCACCCTAAGTCACCAGACCACTATTATCCCATCTGATACATAGCCAAAGGTTTTGGAAAAGGTCAATATGACATACAATGTGCAGCCACCAAGTGTGGGGACATCTTCACGCCTCATCTGCAGAAAACTGAGGCAGCACGATATACTTATTTAACTTCCATGTGTAACCCTCAAGAAACATGAATCCAGGCTGATTAACTCTCTGATATGCATAAATAGTGCACCAAATCAAAGAGATGTATCATCATGTTGTTCTTTAAGGCTGCATCTTATTGTATTTTCACATTGAGGGCTGGTATATATTGCCCAAACATTACACTGGAACCTTCACCTCCTATGTAGTTTCCCATGTGGCATGGAAAGTCCCATTATTTATTAAATTTGATGGGTCCTACAGACACACATGGCGTTGGTTGCATGGATAGACATAAGAGGTGAAATAAATCCCATGATAAATATCATTTCTCTTTCAGTAAATCCCATGATAAATATCATTTCTCTTTCAGATTAAACAGAACGGTTAAATAAGGAAGCTGAATCTCTCCGGCCACTACATCTCCCCAATTTTATAGAAAGCTGCATATTAAATAAGGATGCCAATCATTTATTGTTCTCAGAAAGAGAAAAATTCTTATAAATATATAAAGTACATGTACTCTTATTCAAGCTGAACAAAATAGAGATATCCAGAAACCAAATGTGGCAAGCATATTCCACCAAACTCTGCATCTAAGAATATTTAATATATCCAAAAAGCAATGAACTGCAGATTTTTCATAGGCAGAACAGCAGATAAGCGTGACAGAACTCTATTACCAAGTTCTGTTTAAGCAAGGAAACAAATATCAGTGAGCTGCCTTAAATAGACTGGGAAACAACCGAAGGCCACGTTTGGCAGAAGAGTAAGTGAATTGGTATGCCAATGGCAATATATCTAAAGAAAACAATTTAAACATGAATGGATATGTCCTAATTTCAAAGGACTGCATACCATATCCTTGAAGAACATGAGCACATGCGACCACTCGCAGAAAAGCTTCTACATGGGTAGCAAGAGGTGCTCCTCCAGATAAAATAACACGTACATTTCCCCCCAGTCCTTGCTTTACCTGAGGATTGAAGAAAGACAAATTTGTGTATGGAAAAACCTGTAACAGTAAAAGAGGAAAAGAATACTTTGAAGCTGGTACAAGATTATGTACACCACCTTACTGAAAACAATTTTGTCAGAGAGCGGAGATGCCTCTGTATGTTTACTCCCACTCTTCATGTTATGAAGTTTGCTGCAGCATAGACAACGCAAAACCACGACGACTTAGCTTGCCTTATATTACAAGCAAACACAGGAGTAAAGTCCTAGTTCCCGGAGTTATATGCATGATAAATGACATGCCAATTGAAATAGGAAGCATAATGTACATGGGTGATCTTGGAGGGTAATATCAAGATTAAATAATAAGCTGAGAAAGAAAATTAGGAAGGTGAAATCCTTCAACAAGGACAAAAAATGACCATACATTTGGAAGCATTAAATTAAATATCTAGTCATGAATTTGACCAATCCAGTTATGGATGCAATGATGTCCTTCAAGAACTGGAAAAGGACTCATTGACAGGGTTTAAAAATAGAGTGGAATCTTGGCGTCCAAAGGAACTGTGTGCATAGCGGCTCCACAAGATATCCTCATTATTCTTTTTTCTTTCCTTTTACTAAACGGTTAGAGATGTTGAGACGAACTTACTAGGAGTATGCAAAGTTAAACAAAGTATTTTTCAAGAAACCCCCAGAAGAAATCTTCTGTTGCAAACCTGAAAATAAGAAAGGGAATTAGGAGAGTGACCTGCAACAAATTTGAAGGGGAGAGTGAAAGATCTAATATACTTAGTCGGCTTTATAATTGCAACATTACAAAAGGACACCGTGTGCATACAGTATGAGCACCATTGGATTTACATTTAACTTTGCCCTCGCTAAATGCACCTTTTCTTGTGTTCAGGATTCAGATTTTAATAGTCTTATGGCAGGATTTAAAATAAATTATAAATCAGCAAACTTAAACAACAATTTGACTGTTCTTCTTCATATTTTTTAGATCAGAAGATAATTTTGCAGTTAAAAAAAAGAAACATAAAAGTAAGTCATTAACCCTAAATCTTTCCCTGGTGCCGATCTAGTTGATTACTGTATGGTGGATCAACACCAGTGCAGGTGATTAAAGCCACAATACATATGAAGCAGTTCCATTATGTGCATCTCTAAGATTCTTGAAAGCTTTTCTGTATATTCAATTGTAGCAATTTACAAAGAGTTCATCAGTTTATATAGCCCTAAATCTATGACTGAAAAAGGAAATACAAAAATACAAACTAATTCCTATTTACAAACTAATGCCATATATACACAACATGCCATATATACAATATATTCTCACACCCCCGTTCAAACTCAAGGTGTTTTAGCAGAAAACACTGAGAGTTTGCTAAGAAGAAACTGAAACCAAGCAGTAGTATGAGTCTTGGTGAAGAAGTCCACAAGTTGCAAAGCCGAGAAGACGAAAAGAAGCGAGATAGAGCCTGACTTCAGATGCTGTCGGACAAAGTGACAATCAATCTCAATGTGTTTCGTCCGTTCATGGAAGACAGTATTGTGGGCAATCTGAATAGCACTCCGGTTGTCACAATAGAAAGAGGTCGGAGAAGACTGAGGTACATCCAAATCAGAAAGAAGACAACGAAGCCAAACAAGCTCAGCAGTAGTATGAGCCATAGCACGATACTTAGTTTCGGCAGTAGAGCGAGCAACAACAGTTTGTTTCTTGCTTTTCCAAGAGGTCAAGGAATCGCCAAGAAACATGTAGAAGCTAGAGGTGGACTTGCGTTCATTAACATCACCAGCCCAATCGGAATCAGCATAGGCCACCAAGTCTAAAGAGGAAGTAGAGGACAACAGTAAGCCCTGAAAGATAATATCCCGGAGATAGTGAAGAATGTGAACCAAAGCAACCTAATGGGTAGAGCGAAGAGCAGAAACGAACTAACTAACCACATGAACAGCATAAGCAAGATTAGGGCAAGTGACAGTCAAATAAACTAAACAACCCACAAGCTCGCGATAAAGAGTGGGATCATCCAGAGGAATACCATCAGTAGAGGTGAGCTTCACATTAAATAAGGGTATCAGAAACCTTAGTATCAATAAGACTGACACTATGAACAACCTCATTAACATACTTGGCCTAAGACAGAAAATAACCCTTTGGAGAAGAGACAACCTCAATACCAAAAAAATACCGCAATGGACCCAGATCCTTCATTTCGAAGGTGTGGAAGAGATGTTGCTTGACCTCAGAGATAGCAGAAGAGTCAGAGCTAGTGATGATCATATCATCCACATAGAGCAAGAGAGCAACAAAACCAGCCAAGGTATGTCTTAGAAACAAAGCAGAGTCGGAAGTAGAAGGATGACACCCAAGCTCGGTAACAACAGTCTGAAAGCGATCATACTAAGCACAAGGAGATTGCTTCAAACTATATAGAGCACGCCGAAGATGACAAACCTGCCTAGAGGAATAGAGAAGGCCAGAAGGAGAACGCATATAGACCTCCTTAGTGAGATGACCATTAAGAAAAGCATTCTTAACGTCTAACTGATAGAGAGGCCAAGAACGAATAGCAGCGACAGAGATCAAAATACGGACAGTAGTCATCTTGACAACAGGAGCAAATGTCTCCTCATAATCAATACCATACTCCTGGGAGAAACCTTTGGCAACCAAACGAGCTTTGTAGCGCTCAAGAGAACCATTAGAATGAGTCCAGACTTTGTAGACCTATTTGCAACTAACCAGATTCTTATTAGCAAGCAAAGGAACCAACTCTCAAGTATTAGTTTTCTGTAGAGCAGACAACTCATCCTTCATAGCTTGAACCCAATGAGGATCTTGACAGGCCTCCTTGTAAGACTGAGGTTCTGAAAAAGAGTGAATAGCAGATAAAAAAGTACGATAGGAAGCATAAAAACATGTATTAGACCAACCCACCCTGTTTGGAGGATGATGCGCTCAAGTAGGATATCGGTGTGCAGTAGGATCAGAGTTGTCAGAAGCAGGAGGATCAACAGCAAGGGCAGAGACAACTGGTGAAGGAGGAGCCTTGCGACAAGAATAAACTAACAACGGAGGAGAAGAAGAAGCTGAAGGAGGAGCAACAACCACAGGTGAAGCAGGAGAAGAAGATGGAACAAGCTCAGAAGGAACTGTGGAGATGTACTCATCAGACGGGGCCTCATAAGGAAACGGATCAATACGAACCAAATCCTTTTTGGAAACTGGGGTGGTGAGAGGAGGAAGCTGAAAGTAAGGTAGATGTTTGAGAAAAAAAACATGATGGGAGACATAAAGACGACGGGAAACAGGGTCGTAACACCGATAGCCTTTTTGAGTAGGATTATAACCCAAAAAGACACAGAGGAAAGACCGAGTACTAAGTTTGGTCCTATCTTTGTAGGGAAGAAGGACAAAACAGGTAGATCCAAATACACGGAGGGAGTAGTTAGGAATTTGAAAGAACAAAACCTCATAAGGAGACTGACTAGAAGGAAGGGAAGTAGGCATGCAATTGAGAAGAAAAGCAGTAGTAAGAACTGCCTCCCCCCCAGAATGGAGCCGGAACTGAGGTAGAGAGAAGAAGAGACCTAGCTGTCTCAAGGAGATGACGGTGTTTACTCTGGGCTCGACCATTTTGGGCAGGTGTATCTGTGCAGGAAGTTTGGTAAATGGTACCCAAATTGGCCAAATGCTCACAAAACTCATTTTTAAAATATTCCCTCCCCCCACCCCACCCCAAAGTCAGACCGTAACACTTTAATTGTAGACCCAAACTGAGTAAGAATCATAGACTGAAAGGTACGGTATATCTGATAGAAATCAGACTTATGAGTCATAGGATAAACCCAAGTATAACGGGTGCAGTTATCAACAAATGACACATAGTATGCGGAACTCCCTTTGGTAAGAACAGGAGAAGGGTCCCAAACAACAGTATGAACTAAAGAAAATGGTGAATCAGATATAGAAGTACTTTTACGAAAAGGTAAGGCTGTCATTTTGGCAAGTTTACACTCTCGACATTCAGTAAGTTCACTAGGAGAAATTTTACCCAATACATCAAACTGAACTAAAGACCAAAAGCGATTAGCCGACAAATGCCCTAATCTAGAATGCCACAAGTAGAAAGGACTAGACAGAGAATCTAACTGAAAAGAGGAAAAGGCAGTCAGAGAGGTTGCCGTAGGCAGATGCAAGCTCTCCACCACATAGAGGTCTCCAACTCTACGGGAGAGATGAGGAGTCATATGATGAGAAGCACCTGAGTCAAAAAGCCAAACAGACGAAGAGATACCGGAAGACCCAAGCAAACCTGAATGAAAAGAGGAAACAACCGAAGCAGACGAAGAGGACCGGGATGTGGATAGTATATACTAAAGTTGACTAATCTGAGCCCTCAAGGAAGCCAAGTCAGGATCAAGAGTCGGAGCAGATGCAATGGTACTGACGGAGGGACGAAAAGTACTCAAAGGAAGAGCTTGGGATTGAATTTGAGACTGCTGAGAAGACGTGCAAGCAGACGTCCCTTCTTGGGACAGTGGTACGTCCAATGACCCCTCTGATGGCAGAAGGCACACTCATCTGCAGCCAGTGAACTATTTTCGGGCCTAGCAATCTTATCATCCGGCATTGTAATGAACCACCAAAAGAAGAAAATTGATGGAGGCAGATTATAATAAACAGAAAACTTTGGAGATTTTGGTGTAATAAATTTGAAATAGGATTGATGGGGGCAGATTATAATAAATAGAAATTTTGGGGGTTTTGGTGTAATAAATCTGAAATAGGGTGTCAAGCGTAATACCCAGGCAGAGTTTGATAACAGTGATGAGAACCACCGAATCAAATTGAGAACCAGAGAGAGACGAATGAGGTCGAAGCTGAGAGAGAGCATGAATAAACACAGAGAGAGAAACAGGGGTCAGGAAGGAGCTTCGAAGCTTCAATACAGACAGATGAGCATTCAATCGAACCAAGTGAGCCACGAATCAAATGAATCAACCCCAGACGAACCGGACAATCGATGAAGCAAGGAGCTTCGACGGACAACCAAGTCTGAGAGAGAGAGAGAGATTGCGAGCCAGATTGAGCCAAGAAGAAGACTCACGGCCAACGACTGCGACACTCTTCAACTAACGGTGCTAGGGTTTCGCAACCAGCTTTGATACCATGTAAGATTCCTGAAAGCTTTTCTGTATATTCAATTGTAGCAATTTACAAGGAGTTCGTCAGTTTATATAGCTGTAAGTTTATGACTAAAAAAGGAAATACAAAAATACAAACTAATTCCTAGTTACAAACTAATGCCATATATACAAAACATGCCATATATACAATATATTCTCACAGCATCAACACACATTTGCATATAATTATGGGAATAAAAAGGCATACCTGAATAAATTTTGTCCAATACTCGGGGAACGGCACAGAAAATAGTAGGTTTCAGCTCACCAATATCCTCAATCAATAATTTGGCATCCTAAAGATGTAACAAACAACTAATTGTTACATCGAACTCTAATGTGGGAAGAAAGAATTGTTAGTCATCTTACCCCACGCCAAAATCCTATTGAGGCACCATGATTGATAAAACACTCCTCAATCACCCGATCAAAGATGTGTGCCAGAGGAAGATATGAAAGGTATACATCCTCAACAACCAACTGTAAAATTTTCAAATAGAGGGGTAAGAAGTTTTACATAAAGCAGAACAATTAGATCGACCAATTGCCTGCCCCATAGATTTGTCTCTACAATGGAGAACATAAAGCCTCAAGCCAACTTTGACTTCTAGCATGTTCTCCCTAAAACATGTAGGGAAGTAAATTGAATTATGTGCTTACCGCTTCATCAACACTCTCTAGCAGGCACTTCACCCCAGCTACAAGAGTAACAATGCTATTATTGGGAATCATTACACCCTTTGGGTCACCAGTCGTGCCACTAGTATACATTATCGTACATATATCACCTTTCCTTTTTACTGGAAGATCGTACTGTTTATTGTCTCCCTGCAAAACAAATGGGCAGAATTCAAATCAAAGTAATAAACAGTCAACAGTTATAGAAGTATCATCCATACATAGCCCCTTGGTGAACTGGCATCATAATAAGTTGCTAATTTATCTAATTTTCCCATTAAACAAGTTAACTCAGGTCCGGACCAGATTTAGTTCTTCAAAGGATGCACTCCAGAAGTATGTTAGAGCTGTAATGAACTAGGACAGCAGGCTCATTTTATCCACACAAAAAAAAAGGTGGTCCTCTAATGACCACTAGATCAAAGGTTCACATTCACAAATCAAAACAGTAGAATTTTCGTTTTTGCCTTGAGATTTTCTCATATGCAGGATTTGACCAAAAAATACGAAATGCAATGAGCTACTGTAAGCCTCATTTTTCTTCACTTGCTAACAGTTGCTTTAAAAGCCAAGTCCCCAAGACAACATAAGCAGTATTCATTAGCCAAACTCCTTATGCATCAAATGTGCTATATAAAATCTATCAAAAGGAGTTTTGCATGGAACATGCTTGAGACTTCTCCTAATCAAGTTCTGTGCTAAATTGAGCCTCTATTTACGGTCAGTTTTAATATGCTAGTGATAAATTTATCTACATTTTTGTTATGTTTGGGTTATAATTATATACAGGCAATATGTACAGTTACTGGCCATGGACAGTAGTGATAATCCATGGGTTTTTTCATGCCATTGGTCTTCATAAATGGTGAATGGTAGGTCTACAATCGTGTCAAAATTTTCAAAACTTCCTACTTTGAAGTTCTAATTCTTATGGGGTTCGTAACACCTTAAAGCTATCTATGTATCCTATGAATGCAACAGAGATTCTTTCTTTTTCTTTTTTGTTATAAGGATTTATGTAAGATGCACCAATTGGGTGCAACCCATGTACGAAGGAAAACCTATATCATTTGTACATCAAAAACATATTCAAATGCCTCTACAAAATCCAAAATTTGGTTGAAGGATAGATTAATCACCCTCAAAAACCCATTTCCATAGACATTATATAAGAATGCCGAAGCAACATAACAGATGTCACCATGTTCCTGCCCGCAGTATGGAAAGACACCAATGCCAGTGACCTCTTGTGCCGGCAATCAACTCCAGCATGTCATCTTATCATCATCAAATCAGTTTATTAATAGATAGATAAACAGTAGGATCCATAAATGGCAATGAAATGTCATAATACAATGATTTTGCAACACAAAATGTGCTGTAACCATTGACGACTGAGATCCCTTGTTTGAATTCAACAAATTATGTACCAAACAACTTCCCTTTGATAAAATTTCATGAGTTGCAAGACAGGAATTTTCAACTCAAACCACAAAATTATTAGCAATACAACCAGATATATAAAAAGAATCATAGATTAACACAAGTAGCTTACCAATAACAAAAATTCATCCCAAGAATATATAGCCAAACCAAACTTCTGAACTTCTTCTCTTTGTTCAGGAGTGATCTTGCCAAAGCTCACAATTGCTACACAGAGAAATGATATATTATATTTCTTAATTCCACTTGCAAACATGCAAACTGAATACTGAATCAAATGCAACTCACTTCTCAAGTATTGTGTTGTGTTAGGAAAGGTTTTCAGCACCTGAAAAAGAAAAAGAAAAGTTAAAGGATAAGGGTGCACAATTCAGATACAGCATATCATAGGTTGTCCTATCACCACCATCTTAGCACTAACCAAACTACCACCACAAACTTGCCAGAAAATGGACCTTTCAAATATCAACTACATATGAACTCACATAGAAAATGCATCTAGATTTTGGTGTCAACATCAATGTGATTATCAAATCAGACAAAGAAGAACTATCTACAGATATTTCATAGCAACCCAAATGCAAATATAGAACATCTTTACCTCAGGAATCTTTTTTTCTTCCACAAAAACTATTGTAATCTCTGCATGGCATATTATAAATTTCACAGCACCAGCACCTAAACCATGGAAGAGCATTGGTGATGTAGAACGAAGTAGGAGAATGGGAAAGAGAGAGAAAACAAACAAAGTTGGCCACAGCCTATTCTCACATTATCAACATCAAACAAAAATAATACAAAGCAAAGCCTAATATTTTTAGGCCAAAACCCTAAGTAAATTAGGAACCTAGATCCTAACATTATTTGGAAACATAATCACTTTTTCCAAACAATTATTTATTTAAACCTTAGCTAGATATAACCAATAATAAAAATAGAAATCTACCAATGACATTTATTAGACCAAAAAGCCTTCAGCCCAAGCAATGGACCCACAGGCTTCACCCTAAGCTTCCAAATCACGTAATGGACCTCTAAATAGTTAAGTGTTACGGCATCAGTTCTCCTTTGCTGAAAAGAACTCGACTCCAGTGAGTTAGGAGCATGACCAAGAATTCCCATCAGCAAGGGGAACACGTCTAATCAGTAAAGAATTCTTCTGCAATTTAACGGCTTTGGGGTCGGTGGCACAAGCAAGGGTGTATTTTGTAGAATCATCAATGAAATAGTAGCTTGATTATTTTTTATTTATTTATTTTTTGTGACTTGATTTCTCCATTGATATGGTCGTGATTTTAAGAGAGTGACGAGAGGAGTTGGAGAACAGAAGGCAGAGAGTGAGGGGAGAATGGTAGTGGGGTTGGTAGGGATAAGGGTATTTTTGTCATTCCATGTTTTCTATTAATAGAGTTAACTTTTGAGGTCTATTAAGAGAGATCAGTGTCATCTACTCATACTTATGGGGGCCGCAGTTATTTGGGTAATTGTTAGGGGAGGTCCATGTAGTTTGCTCATTATTTATTTAAATCCTAGCTAAATAATACTAACAATAAAAATAGAAATCTACCAATGACATTTATTGGACCAAAAAGTCTTCAGCCCACACATTGAACCCATGGGCTTCAACCTAGGCTTCCAAAGTGGAAAATGGACTCCCAAATAGTTAAGGGTTGCGGGGAGCTTCTATTTGCACACACCACTTCCCCTCTTTTCACACACTTAATGATATATATTTTTTTATTACATTTTTATCCTAAAATAAAATTACCAACATATCCCTTTCTTCAACTAAAACCCTAACCCCAACCCTAATACCCAACACAATCCCTCCCCCTTTGGTCGTCCCCTTCCTCAACACAGTCCCTCCCTCAATCGTCTCCCCCCCAGCCCCCCTCTTCTCAAATCAAACCCTCTCCCATTAATTAGATTAATTTAAGACAAAATAAAAAATTCAGAATTCAAATCAATCTAAATGAAATTAAAAGAACTAGACAGAAATGCCAACATATAGGAACTTTTTATTTTTTCTGTATATGATTTTATATTTAGTTTTCGTATTCCTAGATTTATTTTTCTATATAACACCTTAATCGTCTACAACAATTTTACCACCTCATTTCTTTCCTTCTTCTTCAACACAAACCATAGAGAGAGAGAGAGAGAGAGAGAGAGAGAGAGAGAGAACCTAGATCTGGGAAGAAGACTCATTTTCTTGCCATTCGAACTACAAGTGTCGAAAGAATTGCCTCCATTCAGAAATCAACCATCGAACCAATGTATTTGGTTCGACCATCAACATCCGAACAAAACACATTGGTTCGGCCATCAATATCCGAAACCTCCTTTTCGCGACTTAGAGAGAGAGAGAGAGAGAGAGAGAGAGAGAGAGGATGAGGTGGGGGTCGCAGTAATGTCGCCAGTGGGTGGAGGAAGGGGTGAGGATGGCGACTGGAAGTGAAAGAGAGGTGGTAGAAGCTCCCAGGGTTGCGCCATCAATTGGTCAACCTTCTATCAAACATTATATTTATCACACTACTCCCCCAAAATATAATACCAGAAACAAAGCTATCATATGGGATAAAAGAAGTTTACACACATACTGAAAGAATACATAATCATATGTTTTTGTTCATCTATGCAAAAGAAGAGATGGTACATACCTAGGGTATCATACAAAGGAACACAATAAAGACCATGAGCATTGCATGCCTGCATTAGTTTTCAGTGTCAGCAGATAATTCCGGAAAGAACTGCAGTGCATGTTTCATAACAACAATAATGGCAAGAAATGTCCACATATTAAGGAACATCATAAGAAAATGAGTTGGAATTGGAATAAGAGACAGGAAAAAGGTATTTTTTTGATCTCTTTATGTTAGCTCATAAAACCAGATGTAACATTCCATTTTTTCTTCTTTCCTTCGTCTAACATTCTGCAGTGTGACACACAAACGATTCCAGCATACAACTTACTCACGAAGGAAATAAAACACAGGTTAAAAAAAAAACAAGAAGAAGAAGAAGAAAGCATTAACAGCAGGTATGAATTGGTTGGATTCGTTGGAAGGAAATTTCAAGCAAAGTAAACTAAAAAACTACGGAAATGAAACATGCAGTTTTCTTCAAAGGATGTCTATATGAAACATTAGAAGTATGGAATAAGAGAAACAAATGGGCACTAAAAAATCAAATTTGGGAATGGAAATTACAATGACTCAAGAAATTTTATCCCTTGCTATTGGTAAATACTTCATCATTGAATTTTATGAATACCAACAATAATATTAGAACGAGCTCAAATCAACTACCAAACATTTAATGAATGCTAACAACAATGGGTAGTTAGTTGAATCTTTCTAGCTAATCTTGGGATAATTCCAAAGAACCTTAGCAACTTCTTAGTTAAATCAACGAAATATTAAATAGTTACGGCCAGAACAAGAGGTATAGGGCAGACCACTTTACCCAACCCTCAAAGATATAGCTTAGCCCTCCGTCTCAGTTGATGTAAAAAAAAGTGGAGTCAAGCAGTTATTCATTCCTAACAACAACCACCTAAATAAATAGTTTTAAAAGTTAATTTTTCATTGTTTTACCATTTTTTTTTGGTTGGGAAAGCTTAGTTCTCTATAGGATGTAGGCAGCAATGAAACAATGCCTTTAATGCAATCAATGAACAGGATATCGAAGATGAGACATCTCATGTATATATGTCATGCAATAAAGATGCTAATTATCTGGCAAAAGAAAGGCTGATACAAGGAAAACATCACATGAAGATGACAAAATTGTCATGGGGAAACTTATAGCATTGTGGAATATGAAGATGTAATTTTGGTATTATTGAGATTTTAGATTTGGGTGAAGAGAGCACTGGTATTTTTGTCGTCTTTTAGTCATTAGAGTTGATTCTCTATTTAATTGTATTCCTAATACATTGTAGATTGATCTAAGATTAATGCAATATCAAATTTCTCGTTATAAATTTACATGTGAAACAAAATGGGATAAGAAGGTTATTGTCTCTGAGATTGATTTTACTCAACTCAATTCAACATGCATTAATTCCAAACACATCGGGTTAGATCTAAATTGATGTAAATTTTTCATGATACAAGAACAGTAAAAGAAACTGAAAGGAGCAGGAAATTTAAACATGTGCAGTCATACATGGGAAAAATAAATACCTCCATGCTCATAATCCACTCCGGACAATTGGCACCATAAATACCACATCGTCCTCCCTAACACAAGAAGTCAACAAATTCAAATAGTAAGATTCACAAAGTTCACATTTATGATAATAGAGAAAGCGACACTGAGGCAGATATAAACACAAATTGGCATGAGGGCTTTAATAGAGAAATGCGCAAAGGCCACAATCATAGAAATGCAGAAAACTGCAGGCAAGCAAAAGCAAGAAGAAATTCAAAACATTATTATAACAGCAAAGTAACAACCATTTACCCATCCTGTCCGCAGAAAAATAAATAAATGACAGCCATGCCTAAAGCAGGTCAACATCAAAAGTGAACCGAGGCAAACAATACTCGATTGTTTAAACTATAAATAAGCTAGAAGCTAGGCTATGCAAAATTTTCCTCTGAAAGGGCCTTAAATTAATCTCAATTCATGATAGGCCCACATCCAAGGGCCTACGTACCCCTAGGGATTAGCCAGGCTTTGATCTAGACACTCCAGTGCCAATCAAAAAGGGAGAAGAAAAAAAAAAGAAGACAAATTTCAAGCCCCTGTATTTTACTAATAGACTAACGGATGGTCGCTTACTTCCTCAATGCCACAGCTGCGGACGGAATTCCCAAGTTTCATTACCAAGTCATATACTTCTTTGTAGGTTTGCCACACATATTTACCAGGCTACAAAGTAAGAGAAATAAATTAGCTAAAACACAAAACAAGTTGCAAAAGGTAGAATTACTCCCAAAAAAAAAATGCACATTAGATGTTTTCCGGGAAAAATACCTCCCCATTCACAATCTCCCGCCGACCAAGCATTGGATTATTAGGATATTTCTCCACAGTCATTCTGTAATAGGAAAATTAATTATCATTCATAAAACGCAAACAGAACAAAGTTAACATCAATATCATTAACTGAGAAACACTGTCTGTAAAGCCTGTACAGAAATCACATTAACTGTGTCTTGCAATAACAGAGAGCACAGAGCTGGTTCAGAAACCATTTTTAGGTAGAAACTCCACATGAAGCTTCATAAACTAGTCTGATTCACAAAAATATGAGCCTATTTTGTATGGATTGTGTGTATATCAGAGCATCTCCAACGCTTGCTCAAATTTTTCATCAAATTTGAGTAAAAATTTGATATGATATGTTACCCTCCAATCGTTTCATCAAATGTGGCCAGTCATCCGGCCTGGAGCAAGTTTTCAGCAAAACTTCCCCAAACCGGTCATCCATCCAGTTATTCGCCAGTCATCCACCCGGTCGTCCACCAATGGTCAGCTTACAAAATTGATGAAAGGTTACACGCTCCTTGATTTGATGAAAAATCTGGCCGCACATTCATTTGATATAGGTTTGATGCCATGGTTGGAGCAGAAAAAAAGGGACAAAATTTGATGAAACATCTGAGTAACCGGTGGAGACGCTCTCATAGTTATCCAAATTCCACATAGTCAACTCAATAATAATTGTTTTAATTCCACAAGATTAACGAAAATTCTGGAAAAAAAAAAAAAAAATTTAAACATTCAAGCATATGTAGGTACGTATAGAATACTCAAATCTCTTCCTCAAATTCATCGAAACTCCAAATATTGAATTTGATTTCCAAAAACTAATAAATTACTTCACCAAAACTAAACAGTAAGAGTTGATAATCTAGTAAGAAGTAAAGCATGTCACTTTCACCAAACTGAACACGTTTCTCATTTCTGGTGTTTAGAATGGCAAAATCCAAGGCATTTTTGGCTTCAGATTCATCGAAATTGAAATTGAAATTGAAATTGAAATTGAAATTCAGAAGAAGAAAAAGAAGACATGGAAGCTGACCGAAAAATATCCCAACAGCTATCCAATCCTTGAATCGGAGGTGGAAATCCATCCTTTGCAAATACACTGCGATAGGCAGGTCCGATCGAAGGCCTCCCGTCCTTGGCCTCCTTCGCCGACTCCACCTCAAACACGAACCTCTTCTCCTCCGCCATCTCCAATCTCTCTCTCTCTCTCTAGATGCGACGCTGCTGAAACGAATCTGGAATTAATGAAGTTGAAAAAGTTGATGACTATTTGGTGAAGAAAGAGAGAAGTGTATATATGTGGCCAGCGCTGGCTTTTGACTAGAAGACAAGAGAGAGAGAGAGAGAGAGAGAGAGGGAAAGGGCGTTGTTTGGGGTTTTATAACACCGTTGCAGAGAGGCCTTGGCAACTAAGAGTGCAGTGTCGTTTGTTAGGTGGGGCTCAAGTTAAAACTAGTTTTGATTTAAGCAGGATTTATGTAGAGGGGTCGATACAAAGATTATAGTCTCTAGTCTGAAACAAATAAGAATATTTTGGTGATTTCAATTTAGGCGCTGCATTACATTTAATGTGAGAATTTTCTCGTGTTAAAAAAAAAAAGTTAAAAGTAATTTATTGATATTTTAATTTTTTTTGTGTTATATTGTCTCTTTATTTTTAATTTTTTTTTATTTTTACACATTTCTTTTTAAAAAAAAGTCAAAAAATTGGCTGAGCTGTGTTTAGGTTTGGGTCGGTGTCCGAAAGAGAATGCCAAATTGACTATTCTAATAAATTTTTTAATTTTTTATTATTAAAGTAATGTTATATTCATATAATACTTTCTTCTAAACTTATCGAATCATGTTGTAAGATTATTTAGAAAGTTTTCAGAGTAGATAGGAGAATAGGAGTGTGGCTCATTAATTTATTATTTTTCTTTTTTTCAGCTGCATCATTTGAGGTTTTTTTTGTGTACGTGTAAGATTTGCATCATTTGAGAGTTTAAGGTGGAGAAATGTTGTGGATAAAGTATTTTTCTTTTTGTTAAAATGATTAAAATAAAAAATAGAGAGTGTGATATAATAATTTAGTAAAAATCTCATAATTTTATTTTTTTCTTTATTTTTTGTACATTTTTTTTTATGAAAAGTCAAAAAATAATAAAAAATATATTAATTTTTTTCAACTCATATTTTAGCTAAAAATTTTAAAAATTACATCCAAAACAACTCATATATTGATTTTTTAACTCTTAGACCGCAAATCTATCAGACAATGGAGCGTGGCCCAATAGTCTTGCAGTCACATTTTAAGGTGTGGTGAGTGAAAGGTCGAGGTTCGAGCTGATAGAATAGTAACAAACTCTTCAATTGTAATTTAACTATGCATGTAATTTAACTATACTAACGTAGTAATCAGTGTGTTTGATTTTAGTTTTTGAAAATTTTTGTATTTTTTTTTTTTAGTGAATATTTTTAAAATTGTAAGTAATTTTTTTTAAACTTTTTTAGATACATGTATCTAAATAGTAAAATGTTTGTGAAAAATATTTTAAAAAATTAATAAATACATAAAAATACGAAAAATATACTAAGTTTTTATATTTTTGATATTTGTTAAATTTTTTAAAGATTTTTTGGCAAATATTATACTTTTAAATTGTATTTATGTTAAGTGTGTTTAAAAATTAAAAAATTATTTAAAATATTAAAAAATTCAGTGAAAATAAAAAATATGAAAAATGAAAAAAATATAATTTTTTAAAAAGTATATTTTGAAAACAGAAAAAAAAGTGAACCTTATCTTTTTTAAAATTAAAAAGAAAAAACTAAAACAAAATCTATCGTTCCAAGAAAGGCCACTAAATGAGATGATGAGATGAGAATCTGAACCAATTAGAATATGACTTTTGAGATCCTTTTGATTACATTTGAGCCAAAGTCGTTTAAACGTCGACTTCGGGAACCCAGTATGACCTGGCTGTTTGAAAAGAGTTGCAGTGGTTTGAGTGAAGTCACTTTGGTCAGAAATAATAAAAATAAAATTATATATATATATATATATATTATTTTTTATATTTAATTAATAAATTAAATAAGAAATTATATGAAAATGATCTTTTTATTTTATAATTTATATTTTTCATTAAAAATGATAAGGTTTATATAAAATAAATTGATTATTTTTATATTAAAATCTTAAAATATAATCTTGTGAATTGCTTAATCTTTTTCTTTTTTTTTTTATGAATTCAAAGGTCTTATTAAAGTAAAAATTATAGAAAAAAATAGTCAATTACACAATTGAGTTTAATTTTGTAGGGGTTGGTTTGGGAAGTGGGTTGATTTTTTAGTTTTTTGGCTTTTTTAGTTATTTTAGCTTGAGCTAAAAAGTTTGGTTTGAGAAGGACTTTTTGGCTTTTTGACTTTTTTAAATTTTTTTGTGAGAAAAGAGTGTAATGATTATAGGTTGGATGTAATGTTTTGTTTGTTGTGGCTAAAATAGCTTATTTTGTCTTTTGTGGCTAAAATAGTCAAAAAAGCCCATAAACTAACTTGCCAAACGGAGGCTAGGAATAAAAATGAATTTTTTCAAATATAAAATTATACATTTAGACAATCCGCACTATAGAGGTTTTGAATTTTCCTTCTTTCTGAAACAAATCTCACATTACGAACAAGAACATAACACTCTAATGTAACATACTAAAAAATTCATTAATGTACTTTTCTCGAGCGTAACAACATAATACTTAAAAAAAAATTGTTTAATTTACTTTTTTCATATGTAACACACTTCAATGTAACACACTCCAATGTAACACATATAAAAATATTAAAAAAATTCATTAGTATACTTTTTCCAAACGTAATACTCATAATTTGAAATTATATATTGGCCTAAAGTTTATTAAGAAATTTTTGTACTCAATTTGGAATGGTTTCAAGAATTCCACATGCTTTTGGAATGGTTTCAAGAATCCCACGTACTTTTTTTAAAATGTTACATTGAAGTGTTACGTTTGAAAAAAATACACTAAGGAGATTTTTTGTGTATTACATTGGAATGTTACATTAAGAAATTTTTTTAGAGTGTTACATTTGAGTGTTGCAGTTTGAAACTATGTATTGCCCAAAGTTTACTGAGGAGTTTTTGCACTCCTTTTGAAATATTTTAAGAATCCCACATTCTTTTGAGATATTTGAAGAATTCTATATTTCAAGTAATTTTTATATTCTTTTTAAAATGTTTTCCAAATAAAAAAGATTTTTATATAAAAATTTATCTCAAATCTGATTCTCATAAATTGTGTATCTTACATTTCTAACACAAAAAAAGAAAAGAAAAGAAAAGAACGAAACATAATAGAAATAAGGATATAATTGTAAATCTAATTCATAAATAATATATCTATCTTTTTAAAATTAATAGGATTAATTAATTTATAAAAAAAAATCATCAAGACTAAACGAAGTACCATTCTTCAATGTGGAAATAATGAAACAATACAATTATTTTTGTTTTTCTCTCACTTAACGAAAAGTTATAATTATTTCAATTTTTTCACTGTCTACCATCCAAATTGAAGCTTCGTGTTAACTTTATTGAAAAAATTATTGATTGGAATTGTAAGGTTAACTAATTGTTAAGGTGCGATTATATTGTTTACAGTTATTTATTTTTTATTTATAGAAATATTAATATAAAATTTATATTTAATTTAGAAAAATAAAACAAAGAACACATTTGTTAGGCTAATTTATTTTGATGATTTATTTAATTATGTTTTAATTTATTTGAAAGAGAAAAATAGAATCCAAAAATTATTTTGATTATATATCTAATTATATTTTAATTTATTTTGATGATTTATTTTTTAATTTATTTGAAAGAGAAAAATAAAATCAAAATTTGTTTTGTCCCATTATTTCTCACCTAAACTGTTATCCCAAATATTGTTTGAATGTATTTAATATTTGCTTACATCATGAGTTCATTTCAACCCAAAAATAATGCCCAAACTAGAGGTTCAAACAGTCCAGAACAGCAGCAGGCCAAAAGATTCAAGTGGAAGATGTTCAAATTAGTAATGATGGAGTGAAAGATATTCAAATTAGTAATGATAAAGTGAAAGATATTCAAATGAATACAACGGCTATAAATGACTATAAGTTTCATTATATATACCAAAACCTCTGATGTGAACAAGTGACAACAACTACAAATAAGTTATAGAAATCAGAAAATATTCTTTGATCTAAAATTACTCTCATCTATTCTCTGAAAAATTTTCTGAGAAGCGTTCTTCAATTTTTGTTTGTATCATCTCTCAGAAATTATACATTAAGTTGTATAACTTTAAACTCATCTTTCCTGTGTGAGGATTACATAAAAATCAGAGTCTCATTTTTATATCTATCTTTGAGAAATAATTCTTGTAACTTTCTATGAAAGTAAAAACACATTTTTTTCCAATCATGTAAGTGTGTAGTACTCTCAGTATTTTTTGGACTTAGAAAGTCTGTGTAAAATCTGTGGAGGATTGCTCCATGTATAAAAAGGTTGCTAGCACCCTGTGAAGCTAAAGAATAGTGAAAAATCTCAAGTGAAACTTGAGGAGTGGACGTAGGCCGAGTTGAAGCCGAACCACTATAAATTTGTTTGCTTCTCTCTCTCTCTTATCTTTTTATTTTATTTAAATTGCCATAGCTATGTTCATATTTTTATTGTGCTAAAATCATTAATTGACATAGTTGGTAGAACACTTGTTTTAATTATTTTTATTTCATTAACTATATTTATCTGTTGTGCTAGTCATAATTTTTATTAGGGTATTATTATTTTATTTGTAAAAACCTAATTCACCCCCTCTTAGGTTGTCTTTTGGGTAACAATTGGTATCAGAGCCTAAATTCTTGTTTTAGATTTAACCATCTGGGAGTTTCGATCCATGGAAACCTTAGCTAAAGGACAAGTCACAAATTGGCCACCATTGTTTGACGGAAACAACTATAGTCATTGGAAGGATAAGATAACCTTATACCTACAAGTCATTATTGACACCAAAGATCCAAAAATTCCTACCAAATTAGTAGACAATATTAGTATACCTAAAACTGAAGATGAATGTGATGAGAGGGATCATAAATTATTGCAAGCCAATGCTAAAGCCAAACTCACCCTTGTTTGTGGATTAGACTCTAAGGAGTATAATAGAATTTTAAGTTGTGATTCGGCAAAAGAAATTTGGGACAAACTTAAGGTAACGTATGAAGGTACAAACCAAGTGAATGAATCTTGTATTGATATGCTTGTTCATAGTTATGAATTTTTTAAAATGAACTCTAATGAATTTATTTTAAGTATGTTTACTAAATTTACTGAAATTGTAAACTCT